TTAAGGATCCGGATTGGAGGCCCGAGTAAGATAAGCCCATCGAAGGAGAGGGGTCAAGGTAAATAGCAAGTGTGATGGGGCCACACTCGGTTTGCCGCAAAAGGGCACACAGTTTGATGATTGTAATGTAAACAAGTGAGAGGTTGTGATAGCGCGGTAGTGGGATAAGAGGGTAAAGAGTAGATAGATAGACAATGAAGGAAATAGGAGTGATAGTGTAACCGTTTCCAGCAGAACGGTTGTCGAGTGATTAACTTCACTTGTCTCTTTGACGAGTTCGTAGCTTGGTGTGGAGAATGTATCAAGTCCACTGTCAGATGCTGGGAATCATGACAACTACTATGATAAAGGATTTCGGACTAAGTCGCCCTGACAATAAGACCAAGTTGCGACAAAGAGGCCAACGCACTTCTATAAATCGAAAGGAGACTGCGACCATACCAGATGCCACAACATCTTGGTCTTCATATCTTTAATTTCGTTATTAAGTTATCCACAATTTGAGACTCAAAACTAGATTTTGAGTCCCGCTATAGTCATTTCCAAGGCCTGATTTAAACCATAGCACAATTTATTTTAAGAAAGGATATCATTGTGTGTGTGTAATCTACTGTGAAATCCAGCAGTTAGGTACAAATTCATTGAAAGTCGAATGGATAAATTAATAGCTCATGTCATATATGACATCAGACTATAGGTTTTTCTTTCCCTGTCTACTCCTGGTATGCTTCGATCACTTCTTTTTTTAATCTTTAAAATGCTCTCATGATAAGGATATATAGCAGAAATTTATACTTTACTTGTCATCATATTAAAAAGCAATTTTCGCATACTCCGAAAGGCGTAATCTAATAAGGCTATATGGGAGGTTAGCCTTTTTCTTGCTTACTTATAGAGTCTTTTTATGGACTACCTAGCAACCATGTCAGCTTCAGCAACCAGAGGAAGTACATTTGCCTGTCCTGAATTTGACTGCTAAGGCAAGAGAATAATAGAACCTGGATGCTTAGCAACGCGTGTCATCATTCGTCTGCCTATTAGCGGTATGGACTTAAATAATTGCCTTTGAAAATGCTAGAAGATTTTGGCAAGTCTAAGGCGTATAAGGCATTCATAAAAAATTTCATCAATTACGTAAGGGTTGAAAGTTTCAATATACATATCGACAGCACTGTTGAAACTCCCTATGGACACTAAACAACAAACACACTGCTTTATTTATAACCAATTTTCGGTTATGTGTTTAAAAAAATCAGCCTGTTGCATTTACATAAAACTTTGTATTATACATATACTATATGCAGAGCTACTGTATATTTCCAAACAATTTAGGGTATTTTGAACCACTTCAAGTGTTTTCCTCTTTACTTTGGAAGCCAAACATTTGATGTAATCGCCTAAGTTTTATGTCCATCAAAAAATAGTACTTGTTGGTAATATCATGGCGGAAGTTAAAGTTGATATGCGTTTTCTTAATACCAAATTTTCTATTCCATTGTATATCTAGCGCAAACTTGTCTTAGATCCCCATTTCCTCACCATTCTCGATCTCTGCACAACTTTGATGGCGTGAGAGGATACCTGGAGGCCACTATATATGAATGTGGTTGCTTAGGCACACCTTACTAAATTATCCTTTTGTGCCCTGCTCTTTGGTGAACCTTCTTTGTACCTAAAAAATCATGTCATATTAGAAGTTAGTCATTCTACTTGAAGGGATTATAGTGGAATTTTTAAAAAATTATATGGTTGGAGATTTTATTTACTAATATGATGAAAAAGTGATATATACCAGTTGCAAAGGATTCAGAGGATTGGCTACTAGCCATTGTTACGCTGAAAATATGATAGACCAGCCGCTTCCGGACAATTTTAATTATATGCTCTTTGATACCTATTTTAGAAACCATACTTCTCATATTGGCAGAGCAAGCAAGAGTAACACTAACGAGATCATTTTGGAAGATCTCTTGAAAGTTTATAGTGCATCAAATCCAAAGTAGTACAAGGGTTTTTATTATTATTTATAGCATTGAATAAGCCTTCTTTTGGTTAATGATTTTAAATAGTTAGCTTAGCTTCATTAATTATTCTCTTTTCTGTCCCTTTTCTGCCTTAAAATTGCCAATGAATGTGAATATTCAGCTCCGAGGTGAGCAAATCTGGCTTAAAATGGGATCGTAGCAAGAAGTTGGCGGGCATTCTTTTGGGCCAGGAGCACCGTTTGTCATCTTCCTCGAGCAATGCAAGTCGCAGTACAGCCAATATGCACGAAGAGTTGGCGGCACTCCAGCCCGGTACTGAAGACCTGGTCGAGCAGTTTGGTCAGGCTAGCTCAGGCTACCTTCCTTTCTATTTAACTGGCGTCACAGATTCCACTAGTCTATCCAGGACGCTGGGACCGCCGCCTAGTCTTGACTCACTTCTTAGCTCCGCTGTTGTACATGTTGATGAAATTCTCAACTACCCACTTCCCAAAGAACACTGGCACGGTTTTCATATCTACGCCTCGGTGTCTCTACAGGGCAACAGTCAAGTGAATGTTAGCGGAGTCAGTAAACACTCTGAGGATAACGAGATTGCTGGACAAATGATTCTCTTGCCACCGGTGCTTACCCACTCGATCGGGGGAAGCATCGGGGCCAGTGGTGGGGGCATTCATGAAAGGCCTTGGGCCTCGTTTAATGACCAGCTCTGTA